TGTCTTTACGCGATATCATTTCTTTCGGATCCGATGCAGCAAAACGATAGATTGCGATAGAAAACAATGAGAATTTCTGTAGATCTCATCGCTCTCTATCGCTTTCTCCTTTTCGATGTTTTCCTTGATCAAAGAACTTTTGAACCTTGAACTTTATAATTCAATATGAGCTGTCTGTGGTACCTCATAAAATAATCTCGTAATTGTAATCGCGAATATTCAGCGGCCATTTCGGCGCGAGCATAGACGCGGTGCGGCGGGATGTAGGAGCGGCGAGGTAAGGACATAAACATTGGCGCGTTGTCCTTCCCCTCGCCGCGCGCCGGCAACAGTTCCTTTGTCGACTGGGCAGTGCTCTCTAGCCTGAGCGGCTAGATGCTCCTCCCATAATGTTTCGGTGCGCGCTCATTCCTCTAATTTCTGTCATTAATAACTCGATAATTATTGCGAATCTCACAAAACGGTATGGGACTTTTATATTTGTCTTAACCCGCTCTATGTCTCCACGAGCTCTGCCAGGTTAGTTATGAGACACCCTGTATATACAGGGTGGCTGACTATAAGTTTTCAACCTTCATAAAAAACATAAAAAACATCGAGAAAAATACAATGGACGGGAAAAAATTGGAATTGGCTACATGAAATTTCAAGAAAAATTGCAAAATAGATGAGCGAATGAACATGCAGTGGGCGTGCGTTGCGAGCATCGCGGGGCTGCTATTCCGCACGCCTCGGACCGGAGCGGCAGGCAACAATAGCGCACGGCCGTCTCAAAGCAGCGACGCTCAAGAGAAATGACACGAGAAGACGGAGAAGTGATTCGAGTTGCCCGTAATGTCTGCAATGTACGCCCATTGTGTGTTTATTCGCTCATCTATTTTGCAACTTCTCTCTAGAAGTAACCCTTTCCAACCTATAAGCCATAAAAGATCGGTAAATAAAAGGTGTTTGTGTCCTCCGAAGATTAGAGTATCTTTTTCTTATTATTGTATAAGGCTCGGACTCAAAATTTCAAAAATACATATCTGGACGTAAAATTTTCTGTACTTTGCAAATCTGTAATAAAAAATATATATTTTGCACCAAAAAATCAACGGGGCTGGGCCCCGTTAGGCCTCGTTAGGCTCAAAAAGTACATCGGACCCAAATTTGGAGCCTACCACGTGAAAGAACTCGATCAACAGGATAACTTTTATTTTAGGTAATTTTTCATAAAAATGCACTCATAACGAGTTATTCGACCGAGTTCCCAAGAATCCAGCGATATCTATGGTAATACATACATATGGTCGCCATATTGCAATTACTAAATTGCAAAACATTTCAGAACCACATATATTTTAAGTACAAGTCTTGAGGACACGATTGGAGTACTTCTCAGTAATATTCAACATTTTTATCAAGATGAAATCCATGATCTAAAAAAAAATTGACGAGAAAAAATCGCATTTTTGAAAAAAAAAAAAAGAACCGTTATAAATCATTACAAACACTCATTTTTTAATGATTCTCGCAGCGGATTCGGAAAGAGCGACCTCGCAACCTCTTACAAGGGAACGGTCGGGGGCGTCCCTCACCGATTTGAATGGGCATTGGATATGTTGTAGAGGATCAAAAAATATTAGACACGTATTTTTTTATATGTGCTTATCTCGAGGTTTAGGGGTTGAAATCACCCCTTGAAAAAAACGAATTTTTTCGTTTTTATCAAATATCTTCTAAAATATGAGATATAAAAACATAGTAAATGTAAGAGTTTTACAGTATTTGATGCTCTTTGCATCTGTCAATTCAAATTTTTCAAAATATCAAATTTACCTTCCCCGCTCCACTCATTATTTTCGCAAATTTCAAAAATTTTGTAAGAACAAAAATTAAAGAGCATTGAATTCCGAATCCATCCATATATAATAATAGTATGATTCCTCGATTCAATTTTTAGAAAACAGTACGATGACATCGTGGTAGGCACTGCACTGTGCGAGTAGGTTGGTACTGTTACGTGGCGTTCTTTCTCTTCAGTTGCGCTATGCTTAATAACTATCTGTGCATAATTTATCCTACTGCAAGATGAAAACGAATTAATTGTATTGGGTGAGTGCAAAAGTTCGTGCGGAGTTTCAATAGATGGAGTTATAAGCGTCGTAAAGTGTTGTCATTAATACTTCCATCTACATATTATATAACGTTGGAAAGGTGACGTCTTCAGCTGTTATTAAAAAAAAAATCATTTGTTTTCATACAAACTGCTTCGAGAAATATCACTTTAAAAATGAGTATCGATAAGGTGCATTTACGGCATGTTATGCTTTACGAGTTTCGGAAGGGAATAAACGTTGCCGCAGCCGTAAAAAACATTCAGGATGTTTATCAGGATGAAGCACCAGCTAAACGAACTGTGGAAAAATGGTTTGCTAAATTTCGGCGCGGAGAATTTAACCTTGAAGACGAGCCACGCTCTGGTCGACTTTCTGACATTGATGACGATGTTTTGCGTACTTTAGTGCTCAATAATCCGCGAATTTCAACAGAAGAAGTTGCTACAGCACTAAACGTTGACCGATCAACCGCTTTCCGGCGTTTAAAAAAGATGGGATTCGATTTGAAGCTCGATATATGGGTGCCCCATTTGCTGACCGAGAAGAACAAAATTAAGCGAATTTCTGCAGCCGTTTCTTTACTCGGGCGGCTCAATAACGAGTCGTTTTTGGATCGACTAGTGACGGGCGATGAGAAATGGGTCCTCTACAACAATGTTCAGCGCAAACGGACATGGAAACAATCAGGTGAGCATGGTGACGCAATGCCAAAGGCCAGTTTGCACCCGATGAAGGTGATGCTCTCTGTTTGGTGGGAGGGCATAATCTATTTCGAGCTTCTCCCCGCTGGCGAAACGATTGATTCGGACAAGTACTGTCGCCAATTAACCAATCTGAATAGAGAAATAAAAGAGAAACGTCCGATTTTGTCAAATCGCAAGGGAGTCGTCTTTCATCACGACAACGCCAGACCACACGTTTCGAAAAAGACGCTGCGCGAACTGAAGAGAAGAAATGGGATGTCTCAACGCATCCACCGTATTCTCCTGATATCGCACCATCTGACTATCACTTGTTCCGGTCATTGCAAAATTATTTAAATGGAAAAAACTTTGACTCTTTGGAGGCCTTAAAAAACGGCGTCTCTTCGTTCTTCGAATCTAAACCGCGCAGTTTTTATGATCGAGACATCCGTATGCTGCCAGAACGTTGGGAAAAGATTATAGAAAACGATGGAGAATATATCATTGATTGAATAAAGATTTTTGTTTGCCTAATCACTGTGTGACTTTTACTCACAAACTCCGCACGAACTTTTGCACTCACCCAATAATATGCCATGTATTATAAAAAAAAAAAACAGTGAATACAGATAAATGTGCATATGTGGCAACAGTAGCAAATGCGTGTACAGCGCCGCTATTTGTACAGAAATTTCCAATGTATATTTGTATATTTCTTGAAATAAATATATTTATTGTAATGGCAAGTCGACACACGATCAAGACGAATTAAAATAAAGTCGTAATGCATGAAATAAGGAAACACAGATTCTATTACCTCTGCAAGAAAGAGCAAGCGTGCGATATGAAAATATAACACAGCATTAACAATTGCTAAACAATATATAACGAAGAGCTTAATATTAATTACGGAATAATAATATAGAAGAACAGGATAGAGAGGAATAATATAATAAATTGTGGAAGAATAATACTGGCAATAATATATATTTAACAATATATGTGATAAAGAAACAATACACAATTTGCATATGAACACGCGCGCGAATAATAAATTTGTATTATTTTTATGGTACATATTCGTTGCAAAGGTGATGATTATGGAAAAAATGTGTCATACACAATGATTTTTTACACCAAGAACAAGTAATTATAGCAGTTTGGCCACAAATATCGCATTTTATGTTTAAATCACTTTGGAAGCAAAATTCAACCGGTGTTTGAAACTCTGTTGATCTAGTCTTTTTGATCCACTTTTAAACCAGGCATATTTAAATAAATTTTGAGATCTGGGCGACGAAAATTGATGATGCGTTAATGATTGCAATTTCAATATATTATTTCTAGCATGAAGATCAATTGCAAGATTTAATAACACAACAGTATCAGAAAAATGTCTAATAAAATTTTTCCATAATCGGAAGCCGTATACATCTAACGGTTGTATTTTTCCTGTTGCACCGGCTGGAATTGTTAGGAAAACAATATCTGTTGCAAAATCTGTTCTCGTCTCCTCAATTATGTTGGGACAATGTCCACTCCAAGAATCTAATAATAATACGGATTGTGGACCAACATTCGGAAAAAAATACTTCTTTCAACCAAGTTTTTATATGACTCGATGTTAATTTGCCTGATTTAGAAGCCGTAACAAAAATATTAGGTGCTTTGAACATAGTTTCTTTTACTCTAGGACCGAATGTTTCTGTTATTTCCTTTAAATTAATAAAAAGAGGCGATAATAGTCTACCATCTGCAGAAATAGTCGGCTGTATAGTATAACTGTGTGTGGTTGCTGATGTAGATTGTGTTACAGCTTCTATATTTTTTAGACCTTTTTGGGATAAAGTACGACCAGAGTGAAATTCAAGTTGGAATCCACTCTGATCCGAATTATAAACATTGTCTACGCCGTATCGTTCAATATAATATTTTACGTTTTCAATAAATGTATTACACTTATCTTCTAAATCTGTTTTCGATAACATTTTTTTGTTACAAATTTTGTTATTTTTCGAGAGACGATATCATATGAAGTTCTGAATCTTTTTACCCACGTTTCGGAAGCTTTGAATCCTATCACATTTTCCTCTTCTTGTGCTCGAGAAGCCCATTCAGCAATGTCAATGTTATGAATAATTATTCTATTTTCAAGCGCTTCATTAAAACGGTTTATTGTATATTCAGAAATTCTCTTTAATTTTTCATCTCTGTTGCCACTTGCACTGATTTAGTTAGTCCTCCCATTGTCGTAATTGTCGCATCGATGTTACTTTTCTGTATCTTCTTTTAACTCCTTCAAGCGATCTTGCTCCTGTTTTACCGATCTTCCAATATTCCACAACTTGCCTTTTATAATCATTTGATATTCCTACTTCAACGGAGCTACAAATAACTTCTTCCGGGAGATATTCTTTTCTTTCATTTTCCTCTAATAAATCAATATTTTCCGCTTCTGGAACTTCATATGTATTGTAAAAATCTAAAGTTTCTTCTTCTTCTATTTTAAATTCCTCTTCATGTTCTATTTCTTTTAACAAATATTCAATCTTCTCCTTTACTTCTACTTCTTTTGGAGTTATCGGACTTTGTGGAAAGTTAAGAGCAATGAAAGTTGTATAGAGTAACATTATAACATTCAAGGGATTAAATTGCATCATTCTGAAAAATATTAAAATGAAATATTTTTCTCGAACCATGATATATAAAATAATATATAAAATAAAACACACTTTATAATTAATGCAGTGATTTTCTTATGTTAATCCTGATGCCGCTTCTTCTCTCTGTCAAATATATGTAATGAAGAATGAATTAATGTCGTGAAAACGGAAAGACAGCTCTATATTTGTATGTAGATATTCTGAAATTGAAATAACTACACATATTTTTTCTTCAAATTAGTAAAAATTTTCTTTGATTATTAATCATTATTATATATAATTTATAATTTAACTCTTGCTCAATTTTGTTCCATTTTTCCGTATATTATCACATTACTGATTACTCGACAAACTATTGCAATTCCAATAATATAAAATAGAGAGTGACAAGATATGTAATAATAAATATAAAATAATAATATCAGTTAGTAATAATAATAATAATAATAAACATAAAATAATAATATCAGTTAGTAATAAATATTTATGTATTTAACAAAGAATGTATTAAGAAGTTTTAAACACACACATGGAGAGAAAGCAATATGTACTTATAAACTTGCGCTCACAAATGATACGTCGTGAAACGATGGATACTTACTGCGACACTAACTTGTACTACTGCTTATACGAAATTATATAATACTGCTTATATGAAATGTATCTTTACATATTACGCTTACTCATGATTTGCATCGCACAAAGTGGCTGCTTTCCAGCACTTTAAATAGCTCACATAACTGTAACGTCTACGACACTTGATATTCATCTATTATTAGAATTATGACAAAATCGAAAGTAAACAGGATGAAAAGAAGATATGACAATAATACGACGGCACAACACTTTCACGATTGTAGATGTGTATGTGTATATGTAGTGCGTGTGCGTGAAAATAATTACGTTATCAATATCATATTAGATATAATTATGCAATCACGTATGATTTCATGAATACGGCGTTTTTCACGTGTCATAGATTCGATGGAAACGCCATGTTAATAAACATGATTGATTTTGCAATTCATGTATCACTTCCGTCGTAGTACTTACATCAACCACCACAAATATAGACACACAAACTTATCATACATAAAATCTAACTTTCATAGAACATACACGTATATCTTTTTATAAAGACAAAGCATAGAAATATTGTTGTGTATAAATCTAAGATTGTTATTAATAACGTTATTAGATATTGAAATGTTTTATGATTACATATTCTTCGTATCGGTATTAATCGCCTATTATTCGAAAGAAATTCGAAGAGGACGTGTTGCGTATATTATCGAGTGAGGTAGGCGCTGTGCATAGCGTGTTACGGGTATACACGGACATTTCCATCTATTTTTCGAAAAGTCCATATCTCGGAAAGTAACATTATTATATATGATTGGATTCGAAATTCAATGCTCTTTAATTTTTGTTCTTACAAAATTTTTGAAATTTGCGAAAATAATGAGTGAAGGGGGGAGCGGGGAGGGTAAATTTGATATTTTGAAAAATTTGAATTGACAGATGCAAAGAGCATCAAATACTGTAAAACTCTTACATTTATTATGTTTTCATATCTCTCATATTTTAGAAGATATTTGATAAAAACGAAAAAATCCATTTTTTTCAAAAAGTGATTTCAACCCCTAAACTTCGAGATAACCACATATAAAACAATATGTGTCTAATATTTTTTGATCCTCTACAACATATCCAATGCCCATTCAAATCGGTGAGGGACGTCTTCGACCGTTCCCTTGTTAGTAATGTACTTTGAATTAAAATTTTCGAGCATTTTTATAAAAATTCATAACATTGAAATCAACGCGAAATTTCTGTCCCAGCGGGCATTAATGAGTTAATATCTTTCATAGTTCTCGAGATTTTTTAATGCGAATGTATATACGGAGTGCTTCAGACCGCTCGGATCACTCAATTTTTACGTAAACGCAACAAATGCTTCAAACAAAAGTTATAGCATTTTAAGTAACGCATCAAATAAAGGTATTAGTGTGATCTTAAATAGCGTTTTCAAGGTCACGTGAAGATCACTTTCAATTTTTTAAATGGAACCCTACTTTTCATTACATATTCTTGTAGTTTATCTCGAGAGCTTAGTAAAACACTATAATAAAATATTTTTCTGTCAGGTACTTTCAAGTTATGAGGCCTGAAAGTTAAAGCATCGCCGGCATTAGCATTACCCAAGGTGTACCGCATAGTGGTTGCACGGCCGGATTTACACGTATGTGTGTGTGTGTGTGTGTGTGTGTATGTGCGTGTGCGTGTGCGTGTGTGTGTGTGTGTGTGCGCGCGTGTATGCGTGTGCGTGTGTGTGTATTTTTTCGGTACTGGTATACTGCGAACGCCCTACGACAAGAGAGGATATGATTCGCAGAATGAGGGACGCTATTCGTTCTTTACATGCTGATGAAATTCTTCGTGCAACAAATAATTTCGAGGAAAGAATACTTGCTTGCATTGAAGCAAACGGTGAACATTTCAAACACAAGTCCTAATCACATCAGCTACATACACGTACAGCAGAGAGGGTTTGGAGTCCATAAATACTACGGGAGTGACGAACCGTGGGCTCCTTATATCTGCTGTGACACATATACACATACACATATGTTACGTCCTGGACGAGGAGCGCAACTTTCCGTTCGCGAGTAAGGCGGATCTCGTTCGTAACCGCGTGCCAGTGAACGGGTCAGGGACCTGACGGGTCCCTTTACTCGGACACCGACGTACGACGAGCGGTCCGTTTTTCAGTCAGGGACGCGAATCCCTTTACCGGGGATAGGACCATGAGTTGACTGTTGGAAGGTGGGGCGATTTTGAAATTAATTGGTGAAAATAACTATTAACAAGTTTATTAAAATAAAGATGACAAAGTGATATAGCGGCACGGTTTGAATTAACAAATTTACTAATAATAGGATATAACGGCGTGGTTTGAATTTTTACAGATTTATTAAGATAAATAACGACCAAAAATTATGTAACTGAGCGGTTTAAAATATGACAATTTATATTTGGGTGAATGTGTGTATATGTGTGTATGTGTGTGTATGAAATGGAAGAAGAAAGGGATGAGAAAGAGAACGGATAGAAAGTTAATCAGGTGAAGGGGAACGAGAGTGGTTTGGCGAATTTAAAGGAGTGGACAGTTCAGAAAAAGAAACAGGAGAGTAGGATATTGAAGGAGTGGAAGGAGTGCATGCGCGTGAGGGAGAAGAGGTAAGAGTATCAGGAGATAAATATTGATAGAATAGGAAAGAAGGTAGGATTGTTGGGTCTGGATGGAAATCTATATCTAATCCGATGCTAATTATATTTCTGAGATATGGTAGTTGTTGTCCAAAACTGTATGGGTCTCTTATCACGTCAAGGAGGTGGAGGACCCGATGGATGGTTACATATGAATGGTAACAATGGCCCACTAAAATCATATTTCCACAAGGGTGGAATTAATAAAAATGGAGGTAAGGAGGGTGGAATAATAAAGAAAACCACTTACTGCTGATTCACGCAAGGAAAGGAGTAGTTGAAATGGTCTGCGTGGGGTCCTGGTTTCGGGTTATCCACTTCCAACTGGTAGCTGCTTCTCTTTCTTTTTTGGAAGATTGACGAGACCTCACTAGGAATAATATTCACTGCACTTGCCACGATGGAGTCACACTTTATCAAAATGTATGCTCGGATATTCGAATATTCGAGATCTAAAAATCTGAATATTGAATGCTGAATCTGAGTCTGGAACTCTGAATACAGAATTCGGAATCTAGAATCTTGAATATGAATGCTAATGCAACACGAATGTGAATGCGAAAGTGACCTTTTTGAATCTAAAATCTGAGTATCCGCAGAGGCGTATGTCGCGGTTTTTATATTGATGATCGGAAGCAGGGCCCACCAGGGTGGGTAGAGAGATGGCCTTTGAGGAAGGGGTGAATTGATCCTAGTGGGAAAAAGTTTTGGCCATTAGAAATTAAGAACGAAGTTAAAAGACATCATGGAAGGAGACGGTTAGTTTTTAGAGATATGAATACGGAAGGGCTAAAGGGTGGAGTGTGGGTGTTTCATAGTTTTAGGTAGATATGATATGATTGGCCGAATGGATTAGGCGCGACAAGCGTGGAGGTGGTGGATTCTTGTGAGATAGAGAAATGTATACAAGTGGCCGGCTGGAAAAATCAAGATGCCGTAAATCAAGGGTTGAGATAAGAGTTTATAACCATCAGTGAAGTAGGCTTTGTTGGTTGACTGATAGGGCACATATGGTTTTGGATTGGGAAGATGTAAGTTTCAAGTTTAGAGCAGGAATACTCTGAGTTGCTTCGTTTTACTGGTTTTACTTTGCTTTGTTTTGAAGGTTTGTTAGCGCAGAGTTTCAAATTTTATAGCTAGGCTGACGAACACACTTGGCGAACACTACCCAGATATAAACCTTCAACGAAGACGTGTAGATTTTTACAACAGGGCACTGTTTTCTGTTATGAAATTTTCCTGAATCGCCTTTCATTTGGCGCGACGGCTGTTCGCCAGATGGGTTTGTTGCCTGTTTTATATTTATATATATATATATATATTCCTATTATATAGTTATATTAGGCGAATAGAAGTTCGAAAGGAGAGAGAAAAAGAAAAAAAAGATTTTTTAAATAATTGTCCGGAATTCGCAGGACGTAACACATACATACACAAAGAAGTGTAAATCCGGCCGTGCAACATCCATGCGGTACACCTTGGGTAATGCTAATGCCAGCGGTGCTTTAACTTTCAGGCCTCATAACTCAAAAGTACCTGACGGAAGAATACTTTATTATAGTGTTTTGCAAAGCTCTTGAGATAGGCTACAAGAATGTAATGAAGTATGTAATGAAAAATGGGAGGTTTCATTTAAAAAATTGAAAGTGATCTTCATGTGATCTTCATAAAAACGCTATTCAAGGTCACACTAATACTGCTATCTAATGTGTCACTTAAAACCCTACAACTTTTGTCTGAAACATTTTTCTTTAAAATGTGTTTATGAAAAAATCGGATGACCACGTGGTCTAAAATACCCCGTGTGTGTGTGTGTGTGTGTGTGCGCGTGTGCGTGTGTGTGTGTGTGTGTGTAGAAGAAAAATACGTTTTTC